TCATGGTCCTCTATTCCACCCCCATCGCCAAACATCTAATGATTGTCTCTCATCATTGATGTTTCTATTTCTCTCTCCCTCTCCCTTCCTCTCTGAAATCAATATATATATAAAGTGGATTCTCTCCAAGTCAAGCCTACAGATAAAAACCCAATTAGGCTGATACTTTAAGAGCAGCCTTGTAAGACCCTAAACTCAGGACCCAGTTTGTCCTTCTGCCATTGTACTAGTTCAAAATAATATCGATTTTCCTTTTCACCTACTATATTTGAAAATTAAATTTCAGCATTGTAACTGAAGTTATAATTTACTGTTTGTATTTTAATCTATCGAATTAATTTCTTTACATAAAGTAGTATATGGACAATTACATTAAACTAATACACTTTTACATTTTTTAAATATAAACTATTCTGAGACAAATTTCGGTGGGTGTCTATTTCTTCAGTTCTTCTGTAACACATTAACATTGTTAGTAACCTAACTTACTTTTTTAAGGCAATAGAGACAGTTTACAAAATAATAAAGCTGAAAAACTACTGAACATCAAATACTTTAAATCAAAAAAAGTTATTTTAATCTTCATAAGTTATATCAGTAATTTGTTCTTAATGAATTGAGGTTACACAGTTAAAAGGTTTGACCAAATGTACATAACCACATCATTTGGTTGAGTGATCATCAGAATTCTCAACCCATTACTTCAGAATTGTTTTATATACAAATAATACTATACATGTTGTAAACATGGAAAAATATTCTGACAGTCTGTTTCAGATCTAACAATTAATACTTAAAGAAAAAGTCAACAATATGTGAGGTCAAGACAAATGAACCACTAAAAGGACTATGAATTGGAACTGAAATTAAGATTTTTAGGTATGTACAGCTAAGTATTGCTGTTGAAGTACATCTTTTCATGTTAGAATTAATAATCCCTTTCCTATGTCAAAAACTAGATTATTAACTTCTAAAGAATGATAAATGACCCAGGTATCTTGAGCCTTTTGTGAAGAGTTAGTATAATGTTGAATACTTTAGCATTTTTTTTTTATGTATAAAGAAATGATGATGGACCTTAGGCTCTATTTTTGAAATTTAAATACTACCTAAAAACAGTATATTAGCTATTTTCTGTGCTTTATGGGGGGAAAGGAGTTACAAAGAATACAATATTAAATTAAACTCCTATACTCAAATTTATAAATATCTAAAATATTTAAATTTTGAATCTCAGAGTCTAATTTTAATTTTTATGATAATATGCTTTTTAAAAACCTATTTGAAATATGATTTTATTGATTTTTAGATAGAAAGGAAGGGGGAGAAACCGGTTTGGCTCAGTGGATTGAGCATCGGCTTGCGGACTGAAAGGTCCCAGGTTCGATTCCGGTCAAGGGCATGTACCTGGGTTGCGGGCTCATCCCCAGTAGGAGATGTGCAGGAGGCAGCTGATCAATGTTCCTCTCTCATCGATGTTTCTAACTCTCTATTTCTCTCCCTTCCTCTCTGTAAAAAATCAATAAAATATAAAAAAAAAAAAAGAAAGGAATGGGGAGTGAGAGAAAGATAAAACACCAATCAACTACCTCCTGCATGCCCCCATACTGGTGACGTAGCCCTCAACCTAGGCATGTTTCCTGACCAGGAATCGAACTAATGACCTCTTGGTGCATGAAATCATACTCAATCCACTGAGCCACACCAGCTGGGTAATAATAACATGCTTTTTGCTTTATATTAATGTATTTTATTAGAATCATAGCCACTTTCTTATCCTGGACAATGTTTTCAAAATAGTTTTTTTTTGTAATGCAATACAATGAGCATCACCTTAAAGCAATGTGAAATACGGCTTTTATGATTTGAAAATTCTAAACATTAATACCGTTTTCCTTTACAAACACTTTTATTATTTTTATTCATGATATTTAACAGATTGAAACAAATTTAGGAAAAGCGGAACAAAGTATCTGAGAAAGTGACATTTTCCAAGAATGTGCATGTATAAGTGAAACACAAAATAGCAAAGACATCTTAAATCTACCACAAATTGCAAGAAGCATGGAAACACTTATTTTTAAATGGGAAAAAGCTGCACAACCTTCAACATGTGTTACTGAATCTAATCCTTTAAATATAAGAGGAAAATTTTTGATAGAATTACATTATTTGTATTCTTATTCAGTCCCTAAAGAACAAAAGCCACTTGGTTGCATGTTTTATTAAGTAATTAAAAAGAAAATGGAAACTTAACCATATTAAAAGCTAAGTTTGTGATTATCGTACTTAATAATAACATTTTTCTTCAGCAAAGTTCTGAATAAACACTGGGTAATTAAACTTGCAACACTATCCCAAGTTACAAGAGTGGTAGTAGTGAAGCCTTTATTAA